ATTATTATTATTATTATTATTATTATTAAACATTACTTGAAAGATTATTCTTAGTTTTAATTGAGTGGTTCTGCTTTAAATGACCGTTCAATTCAGGTGAAAGGCAATACAAACAAGCCTTCAGGACTCAGTAAAGGCTGACCCCGACCGCTTAAAAGAATTGAACGCTTAACAGAGTTGAAAATGACAGTAAAGGGTGACCACTTAATACGGAGCCGCTAAATGCAGGTTCGACTGTATTACGTTATAAAATTTTATGTTAACGAAGTAAATTTCAGCTGATGGCAGGCTTAGCTGGAAAATACATTAGCAACATTTCAACAAGCTGGCTCAGTTCTCGTGTTGAATCTTTAGAAAGTTACCTTGTTTGTCCAAATTTCACCGACAGTTCTAACATCACCGATTCTTAATATTGAGAAATTTTCAATGGAGTGCTCAAAATAATCTGGGAATGAATTGGTTCTTCCTTACTTCGCTCTGTGATTGGTCCAGAAAACTTACGCCTCTCTCTCAACCAATTAGATGCGAAACTAAAACCAATCACGAATTGGTCGCCCGCGTTATCCCGCGTTTTAGGCAGTTTACTTGTTTTTACTTTGAGTTCTCATTAGCTCTTCAGGTTATTTTCCTTTGTTTCCATTGGCCGTTATAACTACTTTGCTTTTGGTTTTTACAACACTCAATCGGAAAAAAGCGTTCTGTTGGACTAGAGGAAAACAAGTGATCTACCTTCATGAATTTTTGTCGCACTTTCTGGAAGGACACGTTCTCTGGTGACAAGTTCAAGTACTCATACAAACAGGCGACTAGGCCATTTACATATCTAAGAAAAAAAGAGTGAGAACAAAAATGTTCAGTGATTCCTTTCTAGCAATCTACATACATACATACTTTATTGAATTTCTCCAATCTAGTACTAGTACAACAGTTAAGAGTTCTCTCCGAGTATTCCTGCAGTTTAAAAAATGGTTGGAACATAAGCCCTTCACTTTTTTTCCACTTTCAAGAGATTCTGAAATCTAATCTTAGCCCTGAGGTCCGTTATTGATATGATTCAGTAGAAACTGGATGCCACATTGGACAACTCAGAAAGTAATTAATATATGTCTCTTACTAACCGTGTTCGAGGTCCGTACTGTAAGTTACGGACCGAACGCGCTAGGGCGATAAGTTCGAGCGGAAAAAACGAGGCTCTGTAACTTACAGTACGGATTGAGGAAACGCGGTTAGTAAGATGTTAATTGTGTCTCTGGGTTCAAATAAAAGGTTCAAACAACGTTTTGATTTCAGCGACCCATACAGTGAAATACGGACCGCTTAATTGACCAATCACAGCGCACGTTTTAACTGAGAGATAGTGGGGACCTTCAGAAACCACGACGGCGACGGCAACGGCAACGGCAACGAGGACGTGGAAAAACAAGAGATCTAATTGGCACAACAATAACTCAGCACGTGCATTTCTTAGCCGTCCTATGCAAAACAACAACGTGAAATCGCCAAAATTTGCGTCGTCTGCGAACCGAAACCGCGACGGCAAATTATTTTAATTCCATTTGGAACTCAACGGCTACTTTATATGTCATGCTGAAGTTGAGCTGTGGCGCTGTATGAAACAGTAAGCTCCTGCAGCCATTTTTGAAATTCTAACTCAGAGTAGAAATTCATTCTTAAGTGAAATCTTCCTTGGCGTCGCCGTCGTGGTTTCTCAAGGTCCCTAATAAGATATGTAAGGCAATTTTAAATGGGTCTTGAGCTGCAAACTCGTGCAGTTACTTACGAAACCTCTTACTAAATCGTACTCTTCTCAGTCTAAGTATTCCTTCCACTATCCATACAACATACTTAACCAGCTTTCTGTCCGTGATTTAATTAAGGCTAGAAGTATGCCTTTACCTAGGCAACTCCCCTCCTCTTTCATTCTTGTAAATTATCGCATCTGCCACCTGTCAAAATAAAAAGTACAATCTTTCATGTTTAACCAACAGAAGTGACGAACTTGTTTTAACATTTTTCGGTCAATAGATCATGTATCAGTAAAGGAAGACATGACGGTGTAGTCTGATCGTTGGGGCGAGTGTAGTCCTGGGAAGGACTGTTGTCGGTGGTGGTGACTGACGTTTTGACAACGTAAGCGGAGGCCATCATCTGTGACTACTTGACTCTGAGGATGACTTCAGCTCAGGTTGTCGAAACGTCAGCCGCCATTACCGACAACAGTCCATCTAAGGACTACACTCACCCAGACGATCAGACTACACTATCACATGTTACACCCGGGTTCAAACCATTTACTGTAAAAGAAGATACTTGAAGAATAAAACCGTAATTGTAAACAGCATCCAGACCTGAGTATCAAACACGTTCATGAGGCGGATATGATATTGGTGAAAGAGGGCATCACTGGCCAGTCTGCAGTCGTGAAATACCTGCAATATAAAACAAACACCAGTGAGAATAATTTTACAAAGGTTGAAAAGAGGCAAAGTGTGCGTGAAAGCCACACAATACCCTGGTCAGGGCTTCAACCTGGACTTCTCATTCTAGGCCCAGTTGTCAAGGGGAACGGTAACGTTATCCAACGGATAAATTGCTCTCCAGAGGATTAGTGTTCGCACAACGTACTGCGCTATTTACTGGATCCAGATTTAACCAGACGACTGAGAGCCTTACCCACCCTTCGAACAACTGCAACCAGGAGTCCAGTGGACATACTACAAACCTGACGCATCTCACTGTGAGCATATGAAGGAGTTTGTACTTATCTTTTTTTGTTTAGATACCACAGGCGCCCGTTTCTCGAAAGACCTGATAATTTATTGGGGTCGAAGCCATATTTTGAAATCTAAATTTAAAGAATAGAGACGCAGGTTCTGGCAACCTAACCAGCCCAATTTGTTTCTTAAGCTGAAGGTTTGATTGTATAATTTTCAACACTTTGGAAACCCTTATCTTGATTGAAAAAGAACAGTTTTACAGGTCTGTTAAGTTACCGGGACTTTCGAGAAACGGGCCCCAAGACTTGAAATAACGGTCGCTGAATAAACAATGTGTGGAAAAAATGTAAGTAAAGAAGAATTTGAAAACTGCTGTATTACTTTTCCTGCATTGAGTTTGACGATGAATATAAAGTAAAGCATTGTCTCATAAGATGCGAGAGGGGAATTTTTTGAGATATGGCGTACTGGGTAGCTTTCTAGCCAAAAATGAACTGTGTCCGCACAAAAATAGGTTTTACTGAACAACTCGACCGAAGCCAGCCGAGAAATTATTTCGAGCCTTGGATCATTTAGTTATGCACACTGATGGGAACATTAACCAAAAGTTTTTACTCTTACCTTCAGTATGTCTCCACTTTCAAGAATGTCCTGTAATCCCTCATCAAAACATGGAGCTCCAAGAGTGAGAACATCAAACAAGTAAATGACTTTGCTACAGCCAATCTGATAGGGAACAGGAAAATGTTACCCTCTGACCATCAGTAAGGCAATATAGCCAGAGACACTCGATTTGTAATGTGGAGACTGTCATGATGCTAGCTTGTAATATCCTAAATACAAAATATATAAACTCAAGAGCTTTTGCTGAAACAAAATTAAAGACCAGAAGAAAAAGTATACAATCAAAATTGCAAAAGTCCTGTAAAAACTTAAAGGGGAGCAGGGAGGGTGCAGTGGTGAGAGCACTTGCCTCCCACCACTGTGGCCCGCGTTTGATTCCCAGACATGGCGTCACATGTGGGTTGAGTTTGTTGTTAGTTCTCATCCTTGCTCCAAGGGTTTTACTCAGGGTCCTCTGGTTTTCCTCCCTCCACAAAAACCAACATTCCAAATTCCAATTCGATCTGGAAACAGTGGACAAGAAGAGCCACCCAGTGGAACGTCCATTGCTAAATTATTTATATATTTATATTATTTATTTATTTAATCAGAAAAAAGATTATCTATTTGACAGACATCTTAACAGGAAGTGTAAAAGTCTGCACTTAAAACAAATGGAACAGCTGCATCTGGACAAAGTTTGCCCCCCCCTTCCAGATAGGATACAGGTCCATCACTGGTTACCCTCCTGGATTTCAACCTATTTTCCTGGTACAGTACCCCTGTGGGGAAGGGTGGCAATGTGAGAGTAAAGTCTGGAACCCAGACCACTTGATGTGGAGGCCACATTATCACCAGGTAGGCTCCAACACCTTCCTAATTTTTTCTTTTTTTTTTACCCAATTTTTCTTGATAGCTAATTCCCACAAAAAGAATGAGGGTAACTACAGAAAAAACATCATTATAGTAATGGAGGACAATTCAGCTACAAATGAAGAACCATTGTTATCACTTTGTCTGGTGTTGTAGAACATTTTATTAGCTAAAACAGAGATTTGGCATGACCTAGTCATGTACCGGTTGATTTAAAACCTGCTCCTGTCTTCACAGTTTGTTCTTGTTCGACTGTTTTGTGGTAATTTTCTCAGTTTTCATTATTTCACAGTCCCCCAAAGTGATATCAATAGTAATACAGTCTATGTCCTTGGGCGTAAATATGTTTTGAGCCTTTCAGAGTCATCCTAACCCTCTCCAAGCAGCTTGGGCTTAAATTACTCAAGTCTGGCCCAAAACATACATTTATTCCTGCTAACACAAAATTGATCGTTTCATTATCAAACCAAAGATATAATATATTGCTTGATACCAGATAAAAGGACACACTTACCACAAGCCAACAAAGTTTTCCTAGTCTGCCAAGATCTACACCTTCGCAGCACACACCAATAACTCGCTGTTTGCTTATGAATTTTACCTACAAAGAGTCAAAGTCAGTTCTATCTAACAATTAGATTGTGAAATCTAGAGTTCATCTTCATGCAACAGTTGATGAGGACAAAGCCAGAATCAACTATTGCACATAAAAATCAAGATCTGAAAATTTGGCACGGAGAACCCTTTAGCTCCTAAAATCTGATCGTTAATACTCCCTTCCAGCTAATACACAATTCCTTGTGCATTGGTAATGAGAAATAAGTGTTAGATTAAGAAAACAACTTCTACCTGATAACTGTGAGCATTCTTATTACCCATTTGCTGGATAATTAACAGCTATTCACCAAAGTGGATGTGGTTAGCAGTGGATATTTACCTCACTGCTTCAAGGCTCGGTAAATATCCACTGCTAACCAGCGACACTGAGGTGAATAGTTGTTTTAGTATATACTAAAACAGTGAGATAATATACACCACAGTCTTTACTTTGAGTGATTTATTCTATTGCAACGGATGCAAACCTGGATGCCATTTTTTCGCGAGTTGCTCGGAGGTAAATAGCAAAGGATATTTGGAGTTTGACAAGCCAATCAGAGCTCGCCTTCAACGCTATCCACTGTTTTAGTATATACTAATGTATGGATATTACAAGGAGAAGTTACAAGTTAATCACTTCTGAGAGTTGGATGTCTTTCTTACTTCTTATCACCTTAGTGGGCAAAATTTATTTCTGAAAACTCCCGGAAATGAAAGAGCCAGCAAAAAAAAGCTGAAGCACTTACTGCTTCCTCAAATGACTTCCCAAATGAATCAATAGGCACAATATCAGGGAGTGCATTAGGACTTATATTCTCCTTTATTTCCTCATCAAGTGTTACGTCAGAAAGATCTAAAATGAAGAAAGTAACTTGCTAGTTATTGTTAATAATAATATTAATAATAATAATAATAATAATAATAATAATAATAATAAACAAACAGTTTTAATGTGGAGAAACACTTAGCTAGAAGCTAGTTTACAGGTTTTCCATGAAACAACTTAAACAAATAATTCGAATAGAAAACAACATTGTTAAGAATCCCGAACTGGCCGAAGGCAAACCAGTTGGCTATATTACAATCACGGCCGAGGATTTGAAACTTGGGGCTACTGTGAAGCAAATCCGAGTAGTGGCCAGGGTGGGACTCAAACCCGGGAGCGGCGGATTACAGGTCTGAGACGCTGACCACTCGACCATGCTGCCTTCTATATGCCATCCATGCATTCCATGCTTCCTGTTAAAGGATAACAATGTTTTTGCATTCTTGATGTCATGTGAAATAAAATGAAGGAGGGTATATGTTATGTATTTTTACACAACACTGATTGTTTTATATACATTATGAATAACATATTTTACCACAATTAGCAGTAATGTTGTAATCTGATTGGGCAATTTGCCATTGTCAGTAAGAGGTCAGACAAGGCTGCTCACGTCAATGTGTCATGCAATGGTTATGCACTGAAAGAATCCTTTTATTAAATGTTATTACAAGAATCGGGCAGTCAGAGGACCAATAAGTAAAATCAACCAATCAAAATGCTCTATTGCCGGTCAATATTCTCTCAGTATTGGACCGGGCACTGTCCCGAATGGTCCCGAATGATACCGCACTTGTGTCCCTTTGAACTTCAGTCGTATAATAAATCTCTTATTAACCAAGCTTGCTCGGGACCGTACTGGAAGAATATCGGCCCTCAATCTTTTTTGTACGGACCTCGCTGCACTCGGTCCATACTGTCAAGACCTCGGGCCGATATTCTCCCAGTACGGCCCTTGTGCTTGGTTAATAAGATATATTTAATATTATGGTAAAAAATAAATTGCCAGTGGTTAAGTGTGATCTGTACTCTTACTTGTTGTTTCTGATTGTCACCAAATCAAAGATAATGTGCCTGAAAAGTAAAATTAATCTAATACAGGCCCAGTGTAAACATCCTTTTGAGGGGTACGTACACTTCTCTGCTATGATAGGGTGCCTTTTCAACAGACTGTCTCCTTCATCGCTCGCATCTCTAGAGAAAGATCCACTGGAAACAGCTGTCTTTTTTACTCCTAACTTTGAATTGATTCCAATGCCAGCATCTGCAAATGCCTTTGCAACTCCTCTGCCTCCAAATCCTCTATCTGGTTTAGATGACATTTGCAGTGAATGATTTGATGCAATGTCTGAGTTTTCCCCGTAGAGTTGTTTTTCTTCCCTAGTATCATGCCTCTGGCCATTCCTATAGAATAGTGAAAATGTGATTTTTAAATTCCAGAGGTTGACTGGTTATCAATTAGATTATTAATTAAAAATTGCTCTACCTTATCGATGTAACTTTAAAATCAAATCTCATGAAAACTTGGCTAAAACCAATGGTTATCCACCATGCTTGCACATTTTTAACTGCAACATTTTTTTAGTATATTGACACTTTTAGGTATCAGACCAGGTTTTAATAGCAATCAAGTGAGCAAGAAATGTGTTAATTCCCAGCTTCTGAAGTTCTAGTTTCCCCTCTATCTCCACTGTCAGCAGTTTTGATTGTTTCTATATTTCATTAGTGTTTGTGATTTATTCCTGATAACTGAACTGTTATTTAAGTGTATCTGCCAAGTACAGATGTTATAACTTGGATATATCAACAAAGTTGAAGTGGTAAATTGGCCACCATAACGATTACAAAAGCTGATGTTTCGAGCATTAGCCCTTTGGCAGAGCGAATAGAGGACTTGTGGCTTGTGTGTGCTTTTAAAGGCAGAGAATGGAGCTACTAAAAGCACACACAACCCACAATTCCTCTATTCGCTCCGACGAAGGGCTAACGCTCAAAACGTCAGCTTTTATAATTGTTACGGTGGCCAATTTATCACTTCAACTTTGTTGATATATCCAAGTTATTTCGTTACTCCCACCGATGCAGCCCAAACAGTTTCCTTTGAAACTATCAGCCTTTATACAGATGTTATGGTCAAGTGTCTTAAGTATGTCGGATATACATGTATATTTCATAAACTGCCATGTCCCAAATCAAGCCTCAGTCTGTTGGAGTGTTAAGAGACTTTATGATAACTTACTCTGCCGCTTGATCCTGTGAAGCATTGTTACTAGCCTCTTCCAACAACTCCACTGTTGAATAACAAGAAAGTTGACTGCTAAGGAAATGTTTGAAATGGCTGCTGAAAATTATCATTACTGAATTTGCTTGATTGAACACTGTCCTGCTTAAGTGTCAAACTTGAGGGTGACTGTCTGCTCAAGAAGGCTAACAGGCAGTTGTTTGCTTCAAGGCAGCTCAGGAGAAGTTCTGTCCCAGCGGAAGATATTGTCTACGTCTATTGCTGCCTAATACATTCCATACTTGAGTACGCCTCTGCTGCATTTACCAATTTACCCTCCTACTTACCTAAGACCCTAGAGTCAGTGCAGAGGCGTAATAATAAACTTTATTATGATTTTAGTATTATTATATAGATGCCACTTTTACTTGTATGTAGCTTAATGCATTTTGTACAGTTTTTCTCCTTTTTTCTCCCATATTTCTTGTTAAGATAATTTATAAACCTGTAATAGTCCTTTTTACAGTTGTGGGCTTGGTGGCCAAGCCTTTGAACAGGAGTGAGGCTAAGGGTGACCCTGTTGTGATAGAGACCTGTATCTAGTTAGCATGATAACAAAGAAATTTGCATTTGAAAAGCAGCAACATCTCTATCATAACAAGGTCACCCTTAGCCTCACTCCTCCGGTTACCGCCTCCCGGTTAGCTAATACCGCCTCCCGGTTAGCTATACCGCCTCCCGGTTAGCTCATACCGCCTCCCGGTTAGCTCAATGGATAGAGCGCTGGACTGTTGTGCGGGAGGTCGAGGGTTCGAGCCCCG